GGTCGTAAGATATCAAAGTAAGGATAACAAAGTCTTATGTGAGACTGGTTCCTCAATCTCTTCTTTGGCACATGGGGATATAAATATTGAAGACTTTTTGTGCGATAAGAAGCTTTCTTTTTTAAAACTGACTAGTTTCTTTAATCACTTTGTTTCAAATCCTTTTCTTATTGCAGATTGGGAGGTCTTCTCCCTCTGAGAANAATCTCTTCTTTGGCACATGGGGATATAAATATTGAAGACTTTTTGTGCGATAAGAAGCTTTCTTTTTTAAAACTGAATAGTTTCTTTAATCACTTTGTTTCAAATCCTTTTCTTATTGCAGATTGGGAGGTCTTNTTTTTCTGTTTTATTTTATCGAGTGAAGCACTAATTTGTTTGTATGTGAGTGTTTCTACTCCCTCGTCTTAATTTGGTGGTGTGGTAGTGTTGTGGGATGGGAGAATATGGGGATTTTGCATTAGAAAGATTCCAAGTAGGGAGCTTTAGGGTTTGTGCCCTTGAAAATGTTCTATGTCATGTATGGTTTGAAGGGAAGGAAAGCATGTGATGGTGTGAGAGGAAGGTGATCATCCTTAATGAACTCCTAGTTTTGCTAACAATTCCCAGTCACTTACGCCACAATTTGAAGGGTAAGTTACGTAAGTTTTTTCGTAAAGCTAGTTTGAGAAAAGTTGTTCTCTTTGGTTTGGGATGTGGCTTCAACATTTTAACAATGGAGCACTTGTATGGTAGAGGATGGAAAGCTCCTAATACACGTTGCATGTGTAAAGTGATATAAAAAATAGTTAATCATCCTCACTTTATATGGCTGCTCGATTGTCTGGATTGCCTTTTCTTATCCTTAGTTTGCTTTACTTGGTTGTGCATATTGCGTTGGTTGACATGTTTATCCGGTCGTAAGATATCAAAGTAAGGATAACAAAGTCTTATGTGAGACTGGTTCCTCAATCTCTTCTTTGGCACATGGGGATATAAATATTGAAGACTTTTTGTGCGATAAGAAGCTTTCTTTTTTAAAACTGAATAGTTTCTTTAATCACTTTGTTTCAAATCCTTTTCTTATTGCAGATTGGGAGGTCTTCTCCCTCTGAGAACTTAGCTGGTTTTTGATTAACAGTGAATTTGATGGTATGAGGGCTTTTTGGACTTCACACTGTTCTGTGTCTGCCCCTGTCTTTAATTTAGTGGGATCCATTAATTCAGTTACGAACAAAAAGGGTGAAAAACTNGTTTGATGGTATGAGGGCTTTTTGGACTTCACACTGTTCTGTGTCTGCCCTTGTCTTTAATTTAGTGGGATCCATTAATTCAGTTACGAACAAAAAGGGTGAAAAACTAAAGATGTTTTTCTTAAAATATATGGAGGTGAAGAAAAATAAGGTGTTTGAAGTCGGAGCTTAGAAGGGAAAAAATGTACGGACAAGGAAGTTATACAAAGTGGTGAATTATCTTAGTTAAGGACAAAGATCAAGATTTCAATTGGAAATGTTTGAGATGGCCAATTGTTTCTGTTTTCTAGGAGACCAAAACGAAACAGTGATGGAATCAAAATTTCAATGCTTCGAGGTGTTTCGGAATGTTTGAGGAGTTTCAAGATGTTTCGATATATTTTGACTAGTGCTTTTGAATGTTTTGAAAATAAATTCTCAAATTTTTTATTTGATTCTATTATGTTTTTGAAATGTTTCCATTCCTAGGCAGTCGAAACATTGCACTTTTGATCCTTGATCCTAGTTGTTACTTGTTTCGCTTTTTGCAACAAATCTACATTTGCATGCTTGTTTCTTCTTAAATCATATCTTTTAGTCTTTCTTGGAAAGCTATTCTCTCTTATTCTAGAAATACCTATTTTTTCTAGCCTTTGATCTGTTAACTTACTAATGTACTTTGATTAACCTCCACTTGTTTCAATTCACTTTTTTGAGGATCTCGGTTTCAAACCTTTGACATATCATCTTGAAAGTTAACAAACGACGGATAAAGGCTAACTAGACAGTAAAATGAGAAAAGTAGGACCCTAATCCCAACTAAAAATAATCTTTACTTCTTTATTAGGATTACAATCCATAACCAGTTCTGCCATATGTTCGGGATGAAGATGCTTTGGCCATCACTTAGCACGTAACTCTAATGTCATCTTTATTATTTGCCTTTTGTGGTCCTTGAGCTTAATTGATCATAAAAACATTTCTGAAAGATTCTACACTCATCTATGAGTTTCTTACATGCTTCAAACCGGCATAACATGATGCAATGTAGTTTTGGAAAATACCCCAAGAGTAACACAACATAATGAAAATTAACATAGTCTGGAACTGAATAGATAATATTAAATTTTTAGATGCAGCCTCCCCAATTTACTTCTTTGGATTCAGTCCTGCTTAAAAAAAATGTAAAATAGGGATGAACTCGTTAATCCAATAGGATATTTTTATTAATTACTATCAAAGTATTAAAACATGATATAAATATAACCAAATAATGAATAAGTTTAGCAATAGATCAAATTAAAATCACAAGAATGCAACACATATCGACATCCATAATTCGTTCGGTCCATGCATGAACCATCTCTGGAAAAAATTTTGGGGTCTTGCATTCTAGGAAATCCGATGCACTTCTTGCTTTTTTGAGAATACCAATACTAAGAATTATGCGGTGCCACACATGTTACTAACGACAACTGATTTTACTAACCCATGAACCTAAGGATTGATAGGAATTCTGTGAATTCTCACAAGGATCACGTGTTTGTTAACCCTCTGCCATCAATTGTGTGCATTCGAGATAGATCCATAAAAAATCATAAAGCAGGGTCAAAACATATTCATATCCAACCTCAAGTAAAAAGTCAAACATGTCAGAATAAAATCTAAAACATTTGACATGCAAATTGGTTCCAAAGGATGATTAGGGTTTTGATCCAAAAATATCACATGTGCAGCAAAAATTCAAATCTAACATGGATCATGCAAAACCAATTTTTAGTATTATATAGTAAACGTAGGTTTGAAATTCCTAAATATGCATGAGATGCATCAATGATAGTAAAAAAGAAAAGAAACACTACCTTCGATGTTACCTTGAATTGATATCATATATTTTGGCTAAACAAAACAGAGTAATATTTTAGAATAATTATAGAACTAAGTAATTATGACTTATTTAAGCTAAAAATATAATTTTTTGAGTGAATAACAAAAAATAATGACGTTTAAATTTGATCCAAAAATATATAACGAGGATTAAAGTCAAGTGATTGATCATCAAATTGAACCTATAAAATGATTAAATCATAACCTAAAACTTTACCTAAATTTTTTATCGTAAGATCGAACTCCTACGTTGACAGAATTTCCCACCTTTTTTTCGTCTGATTTCTTCCTCTTCTTTCCTTCGCCTCTCTTTTTCTTCTCTGTCTTCCCACGACTTGCTCACTAGCAGAATGGCTATTTATAGCCAAACCAAAGTTCCTTCACGTCACCATGCATGCCAAAGCATGGTGACATCATAGACATTTGTGCATTTCTTCATGGTTGTTTCCTTTTTTTTTTTTTTTGCCTTTTTTTTACACTAATACAGTTGTCACATATGTATAGCCATTCATTCTCCAAATGAGACATGTGTCACTAATATTCATTTCAAGTATAACATTTGTCACCTTTCTCTTTATACAATATATATATTTATATATGTGACATTTTTACACACCTTACATTGTTTAGACACTTTGGATATTTATTAAACATAATCAATATTATAGTCGTTTGATTCATTTTCATGCAAGGAATCTATATTTGAGGTCTATTTATTTATTTGAAATTTCTAAGAATAAACTTCGACAACATAGAATTATAGTTAATGCTATAATTAATGTGTTACCGATTAAATTTTTATACGGGTCGTTACATATTGTGTGCAATTTATACTGGCCAAAGAGGCATTGCATGTTGGGGGCACTTATATAGAGAGCTTGTGTCTCATTTTGAATGATTAGGACAACCCAATGTTGGTTTATATGCTTAAATGACATCTCCACTTAATCCCAATTAGTTTTTGGTTGGATGTTCTAGCATGGTATTAGAGCTGGTTCTTAGGTGGTTAGTGGGTCAAGTGTCTTACTCATTTGAATTTCTTTTTTCATGTTTGTCTGTTTGTTTATTCCATGTGAGCAAAGGGGGTAAAGAATTTGTATCCGACATCGAAAGAAAAGGACCACCCAAAGTTGATTTATATGCTTAAGGGGTCTCCCCACACATTGTCAATTGATTTTTGTTTGGATGCTAAAATCCAATTTGGAGATTTTCACTTTTTCTTGAGGTTTGATGTGGGTGGGGGTGGGGGGATGTTATATCATNAAGACAAGCCCATAAGTTGCAGCCACCTATGCACAGGTACAAAATGCATTCACCGCTAATAAAATATCCAACGGTAGACGAATTTCAGTTGGAAGTACTAGTGAATACCTCCATGTGAGACAGAAAGATAGCTAATGATTGTAAAGCTTGTGATGAAATATTTTCAGACAAGAATAAAATCCATCACCAAATAAGTGATCTGCTCCACAGAGAAAAGTTCATAACCAAACATTTCAATCTGCATGTCTTAAATTATCAAAAAGAGGAAGACAAACTAAACTTAGCCACTTCAGTTTCACTTAACGATTTAACAAACGACTGAAAATATCGGTTTCCTCGTAGTCATTGCTTATTCTAGCTGATATGCAGATAAAACCATGGTATGCAATGTTTTTCTTGTCGTTCTTGTAATAGTATAAAATTCAACCATTTATCATAAATTATNTGTAGTCATTGCTTATTCTAGCTGATATGCAGATAAAACCATGGTATGCGATGTTTTTCTTGTCGTTCTTGTAATAGTATAAAATTCAACCATTTATCATAAATTATGGCAGAAGATCCACCATAATGAACTAAAGTAACTTGGTCAAGGTTCATAACCAGAGATAGTTTCTGTACAGTTGCATGAGAGATTATTCAAGAAGCACACCTATAGCTTTGACAGATCCAACGAGTAAGTGTCTGCGCCTCAGGAGTTCCTGGTGTTGGCCGCAAACCAACGTGGGAACCAAAACCAGAAGGAGCGAGTGCCAATGCCACCCTCTGAACAGAGGATATAATACTTCTCAAATACTGCCGAGCCATAGCAGCTACATTTTCTTGAAGGTGGGTTTCATATGCAAACTGAAATGCTATTGTCATAACTGATTTTGCACTCCCACAGTGTCTGGAGCTACTACCAGATGCCTTGTTTCCAGCTGGTCCAACCTCAAGAGCAGATGCTAGGTCAAGTGTACGATTCGGACTAGAGGCATCCTGCATTATAACGTGAACATTAAGGTATAATCCCAACAGATACAAGTCAAATAGAATCTACATGCTCTGATAACACCAGAAAAAGATGATGCTTACAGCTCCAGAATCAAGAGGAATGATGCGGAAACCAGATGGTAGAAGAGGTGCACCAGCATCATCCGAGAAAGAGGCATCAATTGGAGCAAAGATGAGTTCTGCACAGGTGCCGATGGCATTCTCATCCACTCCGCTGCAAAGCTGGGGGAGAAATAGCCAGAAAGAGTGAAACATAGACATTTTGTATAAAACTATCAAGTATTCCATACTCTCGAGTCAAAATAATAGATCTAATAGAAGAAATAACTACTTGAACCTGTACTATTCTCCTGGAAAGACAGCAATCCAACTTTTTACGATAATGAATTAAGGAATAGTGGGCATCATTTAGTCTACGAGTGCAATTGTTTAAAAATTAAATAGAAACCATGTTTCAGCTACTCAGGCCAGAATGTAAACATACAGTCATAAGTTGCTTCATGATATACCTTATATACAAAAGGACAATTTCAATGTATACACAGAGTTATCTTATACATCAGTATATAGACAGAATTTATCTCATACACCAGTATAAGTACAGAAAATAATGTATGAATCAAATTAAAACAATAAAAGAGAATGGCTTACTTGCAAAAGGAATATGTCATTAGGCATAATCATGTCCTCTCGATAGTGATCCATATTTTCCAGCTTAATGACTTCCATGAACTGTCGTAGAAAATAAAACTAAGTCAACATGCCCATAGATTGTAGAACAGAACATGACAAGTTGGAGAAACAATATGCCAACAACGGTACATTAGAACCAAGGAACTTGCCTCTTCATGCTCAATGGTGTGAGCCAATGGAAGAATAACCTGCCCACCAAAACTTCCAGTTCGAGACACTGGCAAACTACAAGGACCAGCTTTAACAGCAACAGCGGAGTAAGCATCAATGCTACTGTCTGCCCATTCTGATCGGTGTTCCCGCAAGAACCTCAGAAGTATTGCAGGAGGAACATTCTACAAGAATAGAAAGAAATCGCACGAGATCACAATGAGAAATTATCTGTGACAGATGGATTAATGCTCAAAGCAGGAAGAGNCTCAGAAGTATTGCAGGAGGAACATTCTACAAGAATAGAAAGAAATCGCAGGAGATCACAATGAGAAATTATCTGTGACAGATGGATTAATGCTCAAAGCAGGAAGAGAAGGAAAACCTAGAAGAAACACTTAACAAAGTTTCACTTAGTTAATGGGGATATGACCAGGTATTGTTAAAAGGGTAGGGTTTTGTATCTGGAAGTAGATATTGCTGCAGCAGGGATGTGAAATAGATTATTTCATGACAATAGCAATATAATCACCATCATCATCATGGGAAGCGTGATGAGAATGATTATGGCGATGTCTTTGAAGCCATAACTACCAACAAGATCGAGAAGACAGTCATGCAAATGTTTTGACTGTTAATTAGAATGCCTGGCATGGCTGGGTCAGGAAAGGTTGTCTGTCAATTATAAAAAATTATACATCATCCAGTGTTTTACTAGTGCTTCCANAAATTAGAATGCCTGGCATGGCTGGGTCAGGAAAGGTTGTCTGTCAATTAAAAAAAATTATACATCATCCAGTGTTTTACTAGTGCTTCCACCTTGATGTGTGAGGCAATAACAGGCTTTTGTGAAAGAAATATTAGAGAACATGGGAAAAATAGGTATCATGACGGTTGCATCATCATCATCATACACAGGGTGATGATGAAAAGAATGATCATGGTGACACCTTTGAAGCTGTAAATAACAAGAAGATCGAGAAGCCAGTCACGTAAATATTTTGACTATAATTTAAAATGCCTGCCATTACTGGGCCAGTAAAGGTTGTATGTTGACTAAATAAATCGTAAATCATCCGTGTTTCACTAGTGATTCCACCTTGATGTATGAAGTAGTAAAGTGCCTCACCTATTGATGCATAGCTCATCAAGACATCGATGTCATATACACAAACTCTCTGATCATTTTGTTGTATTTAAATTCATATCTCCATTTAAATCATGCATATATGCTCTCACAATCTTAAAAAACATTTTTTGGTGTCCAACANTCACCTATTGATGCATAGCTCATCAAGACATCGATGTCATAAACACAAACTCTCTGATCATTTTGCTGTATTTAAATTCATATCTCCATTTAAATCATGCATATATGCTCTCACAATCTTAAAAAACATTTTTTGGTGTCCAACATACTAACATATAATTTATTGCACCATTAGTGTCTCTAATAATGAGATGTTAGGATTCTAGCTAGGCACAAAATATGTAACACTTGCAGGTTTTGGCATTTATGCACTACTGCAGCATTTTATGACATTGAAAAGCTTCTTNCTCTCACAATCTTAAAAAACATTTTTTGGTGTCCAACATACTAACATATAATTTATTGCACCATTAGTGTCTCTAATAATGAGATGTTAGGAATCTAGCTAGGCACAAAATATGTAACACTTGCAGGTTTTGGCATTTATGCACTACTGCAGCATTTCATGACATTGAAAAGCTTCTTTAAAATGGCTTTCTATCAGAAATTGCAGAACAAAAAGTATAAGGTGGCCAATATTTTCTTGACATAATTGTAACTTCCCTCTGAAATCACTATATAATCATTTAGGCATTACTTGTTTACCAATATGAACATTCATTGAATCTAAATAAATGTACCACAAGTATTGCTTCATGGTCAAAGCATTAGCTTCANATAAGGTGGCCAATATTTTCTTGACATAATTGCAACTTCCCTCTGAAATCACTATATAATCATTTAGGCATTATTTGTTTACCAATATGAACATTCATTGAATCTAAATAAATGTACCACAAGTATTGCTTCATGGTCAAAGCATTAGCTTAAAAAAGAAATCAACATTTTACTCATTACTGCATTTTTCTTATAAATGTGCTAATCATTTTCTTATTAGCCAACCTGTCTGCTATAGAGTTTGCTTCTCTGAAAACATGTCTTAGCTGAAACTCCATCCTACCAATCTTCTCTCTAATCTGGGACAAAAACCTCCAGTAGGACCATGCACAACCAAAAGTCCCCATAACAGACTGCACCAACACCAATGAATCAAATTCTATAAGTATTTTGTATTCAAACAATCCATACCTTTCAACTAACTCCAAACCATTCAAAAAGGCTCTAAACTTAACTTCCATGTTAGTGCATTCACCATAGAAAAAAGGAGGCAGCTATATTCAATTTTAAACATCCATTTTTTGGAAAACTCCAACATACCCAAATCACTTTAGGTATAACATGACAAGGTACCTCCACCCCCAACTGTTGCAAAAAATCTCCCCCAACCTCATCATCTTGAATTTTAGCTCTAACATTCCTCATTTGATATCTCAGTATACTGCAAATTCTATTTAGTTAGTGACCCCTTTGTTATTAATTCTATTAATTTATTGATTTAGCTATTTAGTCATTATTACACATGATTTAGCTAATTAGCTAGCTTGCTGCTACTTGACCTAATCAATAGATGTACTTGTTTTTAATGATTCGAAAAAATTCTTTTGCCCACTTTTGTGACCAACCATGTATTAAATAATATTTTCATATTAAATTTTTTTGTACTAAATGATGTTCATATTAGGATGATGATGTATCCACATTGCATTTGTGAATTGTTAGTATGGTTATGTGTAGTGGTTGAGAAGTTGTTAGTATAATTAACAAAATTATTGTAGATGGAAACGGGTAATGAACAAACTCACGATGATGAGATTGTAGATGTTGACAATGACAAAAATGTAGTAATATGGACGTCCGATAAGGAGGCACTTTTCATTGACTTGATGGATAGGGAAGTAGCAGCGGGGCAAAGACCAAATACTACTTTTACCAAACTTGGGTGGAAAAATATCTTAAGAAACATAACATTAAACACGGGGGTACAACTACACGTATGAACAACTACAAAAGAAGTTTAATAATTTGAGACTAATTTACCATGCCTTTAACAAATTGTTGAATCAAACTAGAGTTGGTTGGGACCCTATGAAAAAAACATTGTCTTGGAGGATGAGGCTTGGAAGGATTTGTGCAAGGTATAATGTAGTAGTGATTACTATCCATATTTTTTTTTAACCATAATGTCAAATGGTTTTAGGTTAATTTGCATTGATTACCTTTCATTATTTTCGTTTAATATAGGTTAATAAGCATGCAAGACAATTCAGGAAAAAAAATGTGTCCACATTACGAGAAACTGTGTAGGATTTATGAAAAGACAACTGCAACCGGTGATAATGCTCATCCATCCACCCAACCTCCATCGGACAATGAGGAAGATAAAAACCCTCCCTTTGATCCATCACATGAGGTTGATGATGGTGAGGAGAATGTGGAGACAGGGACAAATAACCATCCTCAAAGTAGGTCTATCACTCCAACAAGGAGTCGTCGTATGAAGAAGGATAACTACAGCCTAGCACTTACATCTGACTTTAATGTGTTGGTTGAGAGTTCAAAGAAAAAGTCAAAGTATATTGATTATAAGATGTCCAATGCGTCTATGGCGACGACTTCATGTGGTGATAGTGAGGTTCTTACACATACTGATGATTTGTTAGAAAAATGTGTGGCTGCTTTGAATTCTCTCAAAGACATTGATGCAGCTTCATACATAAAGGTCATTAAGATTTTTGGAGATGGTATGAGCTATAGGAAGATGTTCTTGTCAATTCCAGATCATCGGAAGAAGGATTTTGTTACTAACCTATGATGGTTGTACTTTAGCCTAGCATTTTGGATGTGTGTACTTTGAGATTATGTGTACTTTGGTATTATGTGTAGGATTTGGAGTATGTGGACTTTGGTATTATGTGTACTTTTGGAGTATGTGGACTTTGGTATAATGCGTGTTTTTGGATTGAAGTTTAATTATTATGCGTATTTATAATATGTTGTGATAAATGTCTGATAAGTGCATTATGTATGGATATTATAAGTAGACTTGAATATTCAATAATGAATTCAAATGAATAATTTCATATGATATTAGATAGTGATGATGATGATGTGTCTATTGTATTGACTGCAATAGAATTAGATAGCCACAATACATCACAACGACCATATAGAACGTCTGCTCTTAAAGGACCCAATTACGTGTTAGAGCTATTACATGGACATGAAAGTAGGTGCTATGAGCAATTTAGAATGGACACACTCGTGTTCGTGTTGTTGTGTGAGACATTAAAAGAAAAAGGGTTGAAACACTCTAGGGTTGTAACTGTGCAAGAACAAATTGCTATATTTTTACTTACAATATCACATAATGAGCAAAATCGCATAGTAGCTGAAAGGTTTCAGCATTCATGGGAGACCATTTCCAAATACTTTAATCATGTTCAGAAAGCAGTTTGTAGGCTTGGAGTTGATATCATCAGCCCTCCCAATTTTAGTATAGTTCAACCTCAAATTCGTTTCAACCCAAGATATTACTCTTTCTTTAAGGTAAGTGACCGTAATTTGCAATATATGTTGTAACAAAATACTACTTTCAATGTCATTCATGTGTTTTTCTTTTTCCTTGAAGAATTGTGTTGGCACCATTGATGGCACCCACGTTGATGCACGTGTTCCAGAGGATTCGCAGATACCATACAATGGGAAATGTACTGTACCAACTCAGAATGTAATGTGTGCATGTTACTTTGACATGCGCTTTATATTTGTGATGAGTGGGTGGAAGGGTATTGCTCATGACTCAAGAAAATTTGTTGAGTGTGTTGCTAATCCAGCCAACAAGTTTTCAATGCCGCCAGTGGGTAAATATTATGTTGTGGATTCGGGCAACACAAACATGCCTGATTTTTAGTCTCTGTATCGTGGTGAAAGATATCATTTGCGTGATTATAGAGGTAAGGCTCGACAACCAACCGGTAATTAAGAATTATTCAATCATCTACACTCTTCACTTTGGAATGTGATAGAGCATTGTTTTGGAGTTCTAAAGGCTCGTTTTCCCATTCTAAAGCTAATGCCTCCATATCCGTTAACCACACAAAAATACATTCCCACAGCATGTTGTACAGTTCATAACTTCATAAGAATGCATTCTCGTCAAGATCAGTTATTTGACGATTGGGAAAGAAGAGAATTTGTTGATAATGAAAGAACTGTTGCTAGATCAAGTTCACAGGTCCCAATAGAATTAGACATAAGTCCGAGTCAGCTGCATCAAATGACTCGTGTCAGAGATACAATTGCCAATCAATTGTGGGCATCAACTCCCCATTGATACATGTCGTAATGTTATTATTTATTATGATGGTAAAAATGTGTTGATACTTGCATTGTTATATTGAATTTAATATTTATATGACTAATTTTTACTTGTTGATGTTAATGTAATTAGGTGTGTTATAATGGCACGTATTGGCTCTCCATGCTCGTGTGAATCTGGGAACATGAATATTTTGATTGCAAGGACCAAACAAAACAATGGACGAGCTTTTTATCGTTGTCTACGATGGTGTGAGCATGATAATTGTTTCATATGAGTTGATGAGTACAACCCAATTACAAATGAACAACATGTGATTAATCAAGCCAGTCAAGATGGANTCGTTGTCTACGATGGTGTGAGCATGATAATTGTTTCATATGAGTTGATGAGTACAGCCCAATTACAAATGAACAACATGTGATTAATCAAGCCAGTCAAGATGAAGAGAGAAGAAATGAATTACTATTTTTATGCTTGCTTGTTGTGGATGTAATTAGATTTTTATTTGTGCATTATTGTTCATGGTATTTGTATTAATTATTGGAATTTTAGTTAAGTGATATGACTTATTAATGTTTAAACTTAGGGGCTATAAGTTGGACACTATGAAGTATTAATGTGATTGCTGACTTATGTGATATAACTATCTTTTTTAGATGTTCTTTGATGAATTAGTGGATGTTTTGGTTTAAAGAATTTTTGGATTTGTATTTTGATGTAATATAACGTCTATTTGTATTTTATTTGGGTTGTCTGATTTGGGGATTGATTGCGGTAGGTACAGGTAAAAGCCTTTCGGNTGGACACTATGAAGTATTAATGTGATTGCTGACTTATGTGATATAACTATCTTTTTGAGATGCTCTTTGATGAATTAGTGGATGTTTTGGTTTAAGGAATTTTTGGATTTGTATTTTGATGTAATGTAACGTCTATTTGTATTTTATTTAGGTTGTCTGATTTGGGGATTGATTGCGGTAGGTACAGGTAAAGGCCTTTCAGGTGAGTTGGGTTCCTCATTTAGGTGTTCTTGCAATATCAGCTTAGGAATGTGTATAGAGAGGCAAGCTTAGGAATGTGTATAGAGAGGCAAATTCCATTGCTAATT